AGGGGGGTTGATTCAGAGAGGCAGGAAGGTAGGGGCTTCTTGGATTGAGTGGGGGCAACGTGAGCGAAGTCACAGGAAGATGAGTGTGGTGGCCTGTCTCGGAGCTGACCTCTCAGGCGGGAGTGGCCACTTCCTGTGGGGAAGAGGCGGAAGACGAGGCTGGAGCCTAGGTTGTGTGCAGGTTGCAGAGGCCTTGAACGCCGGGCCAGGGAGTTCGGTCTTTTCACTTAAAGGCAGTGGGAGCCAGGGAAGGTGTTGTGAGCAAAGAGTGCTGGGTTAAGTCGGGGGAGCGCCCCACAATGCATGGACGCTTCAGGGTGTTGGAGAGTGGTAGGAAGACTGCAAGCAGGGGTTATCAGTTTGGGGGTGTGTAGCTACTGGGGTGAGGTAGAGGGTATGCTCACCCCTGAAATGTTCTCAGATCTGGAGTAAGACTACATGAAGGCATGGGGGAACTAAACACAGCACTGTTTACACATTTCTTTTTTGGTTTTGGAAGGGAGGGGTGGGTTGAGGGGCCCGAATCCTAGACTTTCAGTTTTGACCCTGGCTCCTGGATTCACTCGGTCTCTTGGTGGAGGCTGCCCAGACCTGGGCAGCTCGGAAAATCCAGCCCTGTTCTTCCACAGGGTGTTGGTCAGTGGCCACTGAGCCATGGACAGGAGGGAGAATAATGGGGAGATTTCGTGGCTGCTGCTGTGGGGGTTCAGGATCAGGTGACATTCCGGCAGGCTCTGCCCAAGGCCCACTTCCGGGTACATTTCCAGAAGGATCATCACGGGCAGCTAGTTGTGGCAAATGAGCCTTTAATGCCCCTGTGCCCTGCTCCTGGCTTCCTGCTTCTTAAGGGGCCACGTTGGTACCTGGCTCCTCTCAAAAAACCAGGTGGCACCTGGTGCTCCAAGCAGGTGGTCCTATGAGCCGAAGAGAAAAGGACACATAATCAGACACTGAAGCCTGGGCAGTAACCAGTTAATACAGAAGCCAGGGCAAGCAGAGGGCAAATGCAAAAGCTGTTTACCAGCTGGTAGTGGGGTACCAGGGACCTAGCACAAGATTCCGGGCACCTACCTGTCAGGTAGCCAAGAGCCTCACCCTCAGTTCAGCGAGGAACTATTCTCGGAACTAGAACTATTCTCACTCCACTGGGGCCAGGCCGCAAAACCAGGGGCGCTCCACCCCCAGGGAAGGGGGAGCAGGCCTCCCACACCCAGAGGCGGAAATGGCTCCTGAAAGAGATTTTGCAAGCTGAAACTGCACTCCAGGACTCCTACTGCCCAGGCAAAAGGGAAGTCCCTCTAGGGAGAACTGATCCCTAGCTCTCCAGGACCCCAAGCAAGGCCCCTGCCCTGGACTCTGAATGCAGGGCACTGCTGGCCCAGAAAGGTGGACTTCTTCCGCAGGCACTGGGGCTTGCCTGCTTCCCAGGAAGGCTTGGCACCTGTGGGCAGGGCAAATGCGAGCAGGTGCCAGGCTGTGTGCAAAGCCCCTGGTGTGAGGGGAAAGGTTAGCAGTGGGCTGCCCTCCAGGGGCTGTATCTCAACTCTTGCTGCTATTGTTTGGGTTATAGAATAACGCATCTGCCGAGTGTCAGGCTCTGGGCCAGATGCCAGGGACAACAAGATGTGAGACATGTCCCTGCTCTTGAGAAGGGCACAGTCTAATTGGGGAGACGACAATTTAGAAAGCTGATTACGATACACTAGGATCAATGAAAAATAAACAAATGCATACTAGGCCATGGGTAAACAGGGCAGGTCACGTGGTTCTTTCCGGGGAAGGGGAGGAAAGCTTCACAGAAGAGGGACCCTGGAGATGAGCTTTGAGGCAGGGCAGAGTTTAAAATTTTTTGGTCCAAGAAAGGGAGGTGGGAGGGAAAGGATGCGAAAGGGAGAAGGAACAGCACAGGTGAAGGCCTAGAGCATGGCATGCCAAGGCTATTCTGATAAACAATAAGAATGAAAAGGATGTCGGAGAAGCAGCTTCTACAAGTTTGGGTGAAAAACTGTTAGGCCTTTTCAACTGACAGGACGAAGCCTCAGAGGGAAAGGACTAGGAAAGGAGAGGCTCACCACTGGGCACCTGTAAGTGCCAGGTTTGTTTGAGGAACCTTTAGACACAGCTTCATCGGGATGTTACAGCAAGACGTGGGGGTGGCGTTATACAAGTTTTAGAGGGAAGTGGGGCTCGGGGAGATGAAGTGGCTTGCCCAGGTCACACAGCTGGCAGGTGGCAGAGCTTGCTCTTGACCCCTGGGCCTGGTCAGTACCTTAGACTTGCAGCTCAAAGAAGGAAGCAATCCAATGAATAAAGGTAGTTTCAATGGGCCAGCAGGTACTCAAGCATCGTATTAGGGAAGGGAGGGAGAGAGGGAGACACTCCTTTACAATTCATTAATCCTGGCTCTCTCTGAACAGTGGATGGGCAGTACCCACATGGGACCACTTCTCAAAGTCGTATTAGGCGGAACTGAGCACTCACATGGCCTATATGCCTGTGAGTTATTCAACTGGGTGAAAGGCATTTGGGGGCAAAGATGGCCCTATAGTTGAAGTCTTGGGAAGCATCATGGCCTCCCACAGAACTTCCCTTCCGGTCACTCCAGGCCTGCAGCACCCACCACCCTCTGCATCACGGGGTGAGGCCCCCCCATCCCCACCTCCAGTCTCCCCACCTGTCACTGAGCACAGGCTGGGGGAATAAAGCAGAGGGTCCCAGGGATCCTGGAGGCCTAGAGGCCCAGGTCATCTGCCCCGAGGGCCTTGCTTTGTTTTGAAGGCAGATCCTATTCCAGAGTGAGATGGGGAGAAAAGGGGACGAGCAAACAGTTCTCAGGAAACTGCCCTACATTTTCCACTGCTATCTGCCGCACAGGGCTGGCTGAGGGCAGAGCTCAGCGCTCAGGTGTCCAGGCCTCTGTCCAAATGACTCCCAGTGGGTGGCCAGGCGCGGCATAGCCCCCCCCCTTCCCCCTTCCTGGGCCCAGAGTGAGGGGAAGAGTTGCCTGTTGGGAAAGGCCTCTGTAGGGTGAAGGGGTTCATCAAGTTAAGTTGAGACTGATCCACAATTCATCTGTCTCCAAGGGGGGGTCTCTCAGACCACTTCCCTCACACCCTTCCCAGGGCTGTCTGAACTGGCTTGTCACATATGCTAATAAGCGACCCCTCCCAGCAAACTGATTTCAGCACTAAGAAGCCTGATTCATGAAGCCAGAGTGCCTTATCCATTTCACTTAGTTCTGACCAGCGGCTCACCTTTTCACGGTGGGCACCCGGCTGCCTGGACCTTACGCGTCTGCACACCCTCGCATGGGGCGCCCTGAGTTGTGGGGTGGGGGCTGTTGTTAGGGGGGGGGGATCAAAGGCACAACTTGCCCCAGAAAAGGCACTCTTCCTTTTCGTATTTAAAAGAACTAAACGGATTCAGTCTTCGCCACATTTCCGAGACCAGCCGGCGAGGGCAAGGCACAGAAAGGGGGAGGCCAGGTCCTAGACAACCTGGGCCCCACCGCCGACTCGGGCCGCTAAGCAAACACTCCCTGCGGGAGTCCGAAAAGCCGGCGTGCGACGGGAGGAGCCGGTCTGAGGTTTATCGCTCCGGCAGCTCTGGGTGATTCCCGGAGTTAGACTGAGGGTTGTCAGAGACTGAGGCGCTCGAACAA